CAGAAATTAACTACATCCTAACAGGCAAGGCCATATCGATGACACCTTTGGCATAAGTGGTCGAATGTGGCGACATAGAATGCTTCCCTATAGGAAATGTAGCTGAACATAAAAAAGTGAACTTCTTTGTTGGCTTTAATCTCCAAACTAATCCAAATGGGGAGCACGCCGTTGTTGTAAAAATTAATATCTGACGATTTAGTATTATTAGAGGAGTCAAAGGTTTGCCATAGACATACTATGAAAATGACACGAATTTCTGGTGACAGTAGACTGAGATTACCATAAACGCTGGAAGAATTGTCACGCGAGTAGCACAAAGTTGAGCTGAGTAAGTAGTGGATGTTCATTCACTCCATCCTTCTGCAAATTCAGAGATCAAAATCTGTGCACTGTATTTAAAGGTGCAACTTTGCTTTTCAGGAGACCGATTACTTCTCGTTGACTTCACTACCGTTGAAGAGTATCTCGTTAAACTTCGGTGGTTATGCCAACTTCTGTCCCAAGAGGATATTTGCCAGAATGGGTCTCTACTCTATTTAGCTGCAGCCGTTTCGGATTTCTTTGTTCCACGAGAAGTCATACCACAGCACAAGCTTCACGCTGGCGACGAGGTGAATGATGAAAGAACTAGGGATAGCTTCAAATGTGAACCCGATGGATCACTCACCATCCGCCTTTCTCCAGTTCCGAAGATCCTTGGTTTGATTGTTTCCAAATGGGCTCCTAGAACAATGGTTGTCTCCTTCAAGGTGAGTTTTTAACATGGTCTAGCATTGAGTAGTAGTCAGTTTTGTTAGTTAACTCTTCCTTCAAAAGGACTTGGAGGTAAAAGAGAGTGGAGGCTTATTAGCTCTGAATTTACTGGCAGTCGGTTGGCACTAATAGACACATGCGCCTTTATGTGACATTGATTGTGTAGGACATATTCTTTACTTCTGTAATATAGATTTAAAAGGGGTGTGCGATAGACTTACCTCCACGTGGTGCACCCTGGGCACCGTATATTCATACGGCAAAAAAGTCTATTAACCGGCATTTGACTTCTCACTTCAAATGGCATGTCATATTCGACTACTTTCCCAGTACTCACCTTACCTATTTCTACCTTCTTCTTTGAAACACTCTTCAGTTCCCCCTCCCTCTCGACTTTTTTAACTTTGATGTTTCTTCCCCTCTGTGAAGCCTGAAGTCAACTAAAGGTCTAATGATAACCATCAAAACGCCTACTATTTAATGTAAATAAATAATTTATCAACTTTACAAAAAAATGCAGTTTGTCGAACCTATTCTGCATTCTATAAATTCCTTTAAAATGAAAATGCTTTAAGTGATGAATGCATTAGTAAATCTTTTATGTCAACGAAAAAAATACAAAAAATCTGGTTTTCAAAATAGCAAAATGGTTCGTGACTTAAGTTTGTGTCTGTCTACTTTAAACCATCATTTCTTCCTCTGGAAACGATATTTGTTATTGATAGAAATCTATCCATCATTTTTGGTACCGATTCGCAAGGGTAAATCGAAGTCGAAAGAGGACAAGTGAATTAATTTGTTCGATGCGTACAGCAAAATAATGGATAGGCCTCAATCACTTGAGAATATAAACTCAAAATAAATAACGTATGGGTTACGTTGAGCGGAGGATAAAAGAATATACTGAATATGAGACGTTTTAGCAACTTACTCGAAAAATCGTAAAGTGAAAGGGTTTGCTCAAGTAAAGCCGGATATAAATCAGATGTCACAATTTCCTGCCACAAATCATAAAAAACCAATGCGTCTTTTATATCCAAACATCATCAAAATTTTAACGAATTTTCTTGACAATTTATTTATGTCAAATACTTTCTAGTGCACCCATCTTTGTAAATGGGTATTCCTTAAAAGTAAACAAATTTGATGGAAGTTGAATTCGATTAGGTTGGAATTAATTTTGCTATATTCATTAAATTATGTTAGTTACAAATCGCACCTTCTTTACGTAAGTCATTTCATACCATTCATTAGGTAACCTTGCAGCGTATTTTAAACAGGCGTAAGGATTAAAGTTTATTTGAAAAAAAGAGACATATAAATGCTTGGCAGATTTTTTGAGCACACATGTAATCAACTTATTGTTAATCCTGTTATTTATTTATGCTTTGGCTTGCCAGATTCTATAATTTCAAATGTCGTCCAAGCATTCTTAAGCAAATATTACTTCTATTTTGTAATCAGCATACATTTTCTAACTGAACGACAGTATTCGGCTTTTCGCGATATAAAGTTTTGAAGTCACAATAGAAAATAAAAAAAATGCATGGTGAGTGGCTTAGTGATCAGAAAACCTTGCAATACTGATGCCTGTGATGATATTCTTTTTGTTCTTAAACCAGCCAATTGTCAATTTTTATATTGATAATGTGCATCAAATGGCATTCTTTCCGATAGCTATCATTAGCGCTTCAGTTTACTTCGGGCCTCTCAGAGGAAAGGAACATCAAGGTCACAAAATATTGAGAGGGAGACAGAAGGGTGATTCACAGATATGAAAGCCGAAAACAAAATGGCAAATAGAAGGAGTGGTGAAAACTGTGGAAGTGATCGAATATGATGTACAGTGCTGTGATGGTAGTTTGAAATCAGAAATCAACTGCAGGATTATAGACTTTTCTGCCGTAAGAGTATTCGTTGCACAGATTGCACCACGTGGTTTTAAGTCACCCGAACACCCGGAATACGTTATTTTACAATTGAAGAGGCTGTAAAATACTCACAACTGCTTTGCAATGAATGAAATTTCGGATTTATTTCATCCTTTGCTCCAAAATGCTTGCGAAAGCAGGTGGGAAAAGATAAGAACTTTTTGAATGAAAGCAAGGAACACATAGTGCCATCTTATATGAATTTCTCTTCTAAATGTTGCATTTTATTGATATTCACTAACAACAATTTTATTGTTTAGGATATGCTAACACTTACTAGCACGTTCAAATAACAAAATTTGGGCATATGTAAGGTTTATCCACAAGGGATAGAAATTCATCAAACATTCACCTCATTTGTGGTTTATCATAAACCGAGTGTCATCTAAAA